TTTTTCTTTCTTTCTTATACTTGGCAGATTTTCACTTTTCTATCTCTCTTCCTTTTTCCCATTTTCTTCTTTTTCCGTTAATAGATCGCAGCGGAAGTATCACTTTACAGTATTGTGGCCCTTTAAGCCAATATTTCTTCAAATTTTCTTTTTAGGGGTGTAAATTAAGAACAAGACTGATCGGAAGAAACTAAATATGATTGCATAAATAATTACCACAGGTAACCCAATCTTCAGCAATAGTTGCCACAGGTATCCCAATCTCAACTAATTCCCTTAATTCAAGTTTAATGCCTTTATAGTAATAAATATCTTTTTATTGCAAATGTATTAAAAAGTGTTGAAATGCATCTACCAAAGGAGATTTTAATAAGGGGAAAATATAATAAACTCATCCCGTACTCTAAATATAAATCACTGACATTTCCCACTTACAAAATCCTATGTATACAAAGTATGAATAATCAATTAAATAGTTTCACGTCAAGTTTCTGTGTTAAACATTGAATAATTTGTTGCCACCATCTTGTATGAATGTGTAGTTATAAAAAAATATATCCATACCCCCTCATGGAGGAATTTTTTTAAGACACCCCCCTACCCCAAGGAATTTCCAATTTTCTTCCATACACGCTCTGTTTATTATTTTTGTTCTTTCTCTGACCCCCCTACTCTTCAGAAATTCCAAATTCCTCTGTGGGGTGGGTATGGATGATTTCTGGAACTACACAATTAAACAAAAAAAATCGTAATTCATTTCTTTCGATACATCAAACAACATGCCCACCACGTCTTTTATAAATATTTGTTCTCAACCAGCGTTCACCATATAGATACAAATTATTCACTGCCCATTCATCTCTCCTTTTGTTGAATTTCTCATACATCAAAACCCATTTGCATTATGGTGTCTCTGTTGCATCAAGAACCACCATCTCTTTTATCACTGTCTGTTGGATTCTTTTCCCTTTTCTTGGCTTGTGACATCATGTTTTCAAAAAAGTTATGCAGATCAGGCAACTGTACAAGGAAAGATAGAATAAAGATAAATGACTGGCCATATAGCATAACACATAACTAGAGTTTGTTGGGACTTTCCCTTAGCTATACATGGGGTTTCTCCAGGTTCTCTGGTATATCCTCCCATGCGAAACCTTATACACTAAATCTTGATCTGTGAGTTAGCCATGCCCTGATTTAGATAAGCCTAGAGATTGTTTCAAAGTATTGATAAGATTGGAAGGGGTTTTTTATGGGGTTTTTTAAGATGTTGGAATACAGATTTAAGAGTGGGCGAAAATTTATGTGAATTTCAAGAAATATCAAAACTTTCCCTAAATATAAGATTATTGGCTTTTCATTTAATTCTTGGTTTGCAATCAATCCCAAAAGAGCACAATAACAAAAGGGATGTCCGCCATGTTGGAAGATATAACAAAAGACAAAATCTTTTGTCAAATTCTTCCAACATGGCGGCTATGACGTCTATTGCAAGCGAAGAATACACATATTTCACTGTTAGATCTTGTTTCACAATATAAGACAAGACAATAAGACAATCATTTTATACAATTAATAAATCCTAAAATCAAGGTACCAAAATAATAGGAGAAAATATATATGACAGTTAAATAAATCAAGCCTACCTCATAGGTCTGGGCTAGATAAACTCCAAAGACGTTTCCTGCGACCAGTCCAACCTGATGGTCAAAAAACGTGCCTTATGATGTTAAAACTTAAATAAAACAAACAAAACAGTAAATATAATACTCACAGCTAATGATATCAGACTCGACGTCGATGACATAGTATTTCTTAAATTAAATAAACACTGAGAAAAGATTCAATGCATCCAAGTTCACTTCGACTGCATAAACCTTTATTTCCTCTTCCTACAACTGAATTAAAACTCTTGGGGGAGGGAGACAGTCATAAAAAAATGCTACGGTCTAGTAAAATTTCTTGGCATACAAAATGGCCTATTCAATAACCTAATTGCATTTTGTATCAATCCTGTAAATATTTTATGTGCAGAATTACAGAATGATAAAGCTGGGCATTCTGAAACTATAGAGTTTTATTTTTTACTCTGGGGACACCACACAAACTATTTTTGTCGTTCAATATTTTTTGCCCAGCGGTCCATACCACTAATTCAAGATGGCGGCTACTAGTGTGCTGAGGAAAGCTGGCTCGTTTAGTCAATGTTTTGGATGTTTTAGAAGTTATACGAAAAATATTGGTTTAGATATTAAGAGTGTATCAAGACGTTTATGTACTGGAGGTAAGAATTTTATTTTTTGATCGAAAATCGTTGGGTTATTTCTCTATCGATAAATGAAGCGTACTGTAGCTTGACACACTCTTACATCACATTTTTTTGCTGTTCTTGTTTAAAGCAATAGAGACCTCAAGTTCTTCTGACGATTCAGTTTCAGTTGTGAATGAAGATGTTCCAGAAAAACGCAAAGAATTTCGTAAATTCAGATCTAGACTTTACAGGCAAAATCGAATGAATCCAGAGCTCGAGAGAAGAGCACGTCAAGGAAATTGTGAGTAGAAGAAGATTTTTATACAATTTTATTGCCTATTTCTTGATGATATAAGCTCAAGTGAGAAAGTGACATTTACCTTGTAACAAATGATTCGTAAGTAACTTTGTATGTGAGGTAACAGAAATTGGGCTCCCTGTGGTTCAGCTAACATAAAAAATACGTAAGAGTAAACCTCTTTACCTTTGGCGTAATGTTTCCCATTTCAGACCATGTGTCATTCTCTTGAGAGAATAGAACTTTTTTTTTTTGAGTTGTGTAATCTCCTTAAACAAAGAATAGATACTCTAGGGAATGACACATGGTCTGAAATGGGAAAACATTGTGCCCAAGCCAAAGAGGTATATTGCAGAGCAACGCACAAAAGTATGACCACATTTAATCTATTCGTATGCATTCACATCGGCTTTGCGATGCCAAACAAGCTTTAACACACCTTATTTGGAAAAACCAATAAGCTGTGCATTAAATTAACATACAAAAGCTTGTGAATAGAGGTATGCAAATACATTAAATGTGGTCATACTTTGGCATGTTGCATTGTAATCCAAGGGGTTCATAACAATATTTTTTATTTTCTTTTTTTATGCAGTAACTATCAATCTAGATGCTGTACACAAGGACTGGTTAGCTAAAGGTCTTCAAAGCACTCGTAATCTTGCAAAGCATTATGGGATATTTGAGCATATTTTTGCAGGCCTTGAGTTCAAACCAACAGTTTTGATGAAAATAATATATGAACAGGGAAATCAAGAAGTTAAATGGGGAAACTTTGTCTCACCATCTCAGGTAAAGGTCTTGCCTTCATGATCGAACTCTTGGTAACATCAATTTATATACCATCACCATAACATCATTATCATACCATTTATCCCCTACTACCATCACCATCATTATCCATCACTACCTTAATTCATCATATTCACTCATAATGTTCTCATATGGCCTAAAATCACTGCTTTATTTGTTTTACTATCTCCTTATCAATCAAACCCAAGTTCACCATTTATTATCACACTTACTTTTTTCCAGGCAAAGTCTTGTCCAACTGTTGATTTTCAAAGTGATTCTGGTACATATTGGACTTTAATTCTTACAAATCCAGGTGAAAAATTATTTAAATTTTATCAATCCCATAAAACAACCTCTGGGCTGATCAAAGTCATGGCATGGCTTACTCACAGATTGAACCCTGAAACAACCTCTGAGCTGATCAAAGTCATGGCATGGCTTACTCACAGATTGA